GACACGGGAGGACAGTGGAGAAGTGAGCGAGGACAGGATCCCCAGAGGGGTCAGCCAGGGAGACTGCAACCGGCCGACCAAGCGGCGTGAGTGTGGTGCGGTCTCGAAAGAAGGAGCGAGAAGCCCCTGAGTCAAGTGTGAAGGTGAGGGAGGCCGAAGCCGACGCAGTACCTGAGAGCGCAGCCTCACTAGTACCTGAGAGCGCAGCCTCACTAGCACCTGAGAGCGCAGACGCACTGGCACCTAGAGCAGTAGCCTCACAAGCACCTAGCGCAGCAGTACCAATGCCCGGGTCGGGCGGGAAACACCGGTAACAGTCACCCTCATCACTAATAGTCACAGCATACATGGCAGCAAGGATAGCATCAAAGTCAAGATCAAAGATAGCCACGCCAGTCCTAGACAGCTCTCCCCAGCGGGGGATCTCCGTGGCCTCCGGAAACTGCTGACGCCAAGCGTCCGTCAGGCGGCCAAAACAGCGCTGGGTGGGGTGGGCACCCCCACACTGCTCACCCGCGCGTTCGCCGGTGCGAACGACGTAGGTGCAGGGACCAAGTCCCCCACCACGCTGACGCTGCGTGTACCACTCACGGAGCTGCTGAGGGGTGGGGACGTCGCGAGAACGCTGCTGCTGCTGCTGGCGCTGACCACCCCCAGTGCCGTTGCGCTGTGAAGTGCCACTCCGACCACCTCCACCACCTCCTCCTCCACCTCCTCCACCTCTGCTACCGCCGCCACCCCCGCCGGTACCGCCGCCGCCAACGCCGCCTCCGCCACCACTGCTGCCACTAGCCTCCCCACCCCCGCCACCTCCTCCACCGCCACCCCCACTCCCTCCGCCGCCTCCACCTCCACCGCCACCGCCCCCGCTAGCCCCACCCGCTCCCTTGCCCCCCTTGCCCTTGCCAGGGCGATGTCTCCCGCTAGGGGCAGACGCCGCACCGACCGACTCAAGACCAACGAGGTCGGCCGCAGCGGCAGAGGCGACAGAGGGCAAGAGAGGGGAAGGAGAACACCCCTCAAAGATGGGGGCGCGGGGGTCACCTCGAGAGGCTCCTACAGCGACGATGCTCTTCTCCGCCGCTAGGAGGGCCTTCTCTAGGCTGTCGACTGTGAGAGTGGTGGGACAGACCGCGAGGAAGTGGTCCCGGACTACACGAAGGGAGTCGGGGAGGCGGGTGACTAGAAAGTAGAGAGTGATGTACATGGGGGGGGGGTTCTTGGCGCAGAAGTCAGCAGGAAGCGCAGCGCGGTAGCGGGTGTCACTTGTGCGGAGATGCGTAATGAGATCAGCGACTGTGGGAAAGGCGGCAAGGTCAGGGAAGAGGAAGGGTAGCATGAGGCGGCTCAGTGCAGCAGTGGCAGGGGAGGAGTAGCGCGCAACTACAGCGTCGTACAAGGTCTGAGCACTCTTGTACTGACTAAAGTGCGCACGCTCAGAGGTAGGGAGGTGGCGACGCACAGCAAGACGTGCAGCAGCATCGCGCGTAGCCCACTGGGAGCGAACAGTAGGGTCAGCATCAGCAGCAGGGGCAGGGGAAGCGCCAGAGGTAAGGTCAAAGAGAGAGAGGCCGTCTGCCCTATCGCACTGTAAGAACAGCTGGAGGTCATCTACCCAGACCTCAAAGTCAATGGCCCGACCCTCAGCGTCAAAAGCGAGGACACTGGGGGTAGCCATGACGACAGACGCCTAGCAGTGCAAGCAGTAGGGTGAGGGCAGCGCAGTGAAAAAAGAAGGCTCTGTGCTCACCAGGCTGGGTAGAACGGGCCGTATGGAAGCAGGGCAGCTCAGCGGCCGGCTGCTCGGCGGCTCGGCTGCTCGGCTGCTGGGCGGCTCGGCTGCGGGGCGGCTCGGCTGTGGGGCGGCTCGGCTGCTCGGCGGCTCGGCTGCGGGGCGGCTCGGCTGCTCGGCGGCTCGGCTGCTCGGCTGCTGGGCGGCTCGGCGGCTCGGCTGCTCGGCGGCTCGGCGGCTCGGCGGTCGGCTGCTGGGCGGCTCGGCGGCTCAGCGGCTGGGCGACCCGGCGGTCGGGCGGCGGGTGGGCCGCAGGTAGGGCGGCTGGCGGGCCGCTGAGTAGGGCGGCGGGGCCGTCGAAGTAGGGCGGCGGGGCCGCTACGTAGGGCGGCGACGCCGTCGAAGGGTAGGGCGGCGGGGCCGCGACGTAGGGTAGGGCGGCGGGGCCGTCGAAGTAGGGCGGCGAGGCCGCGACGTAGGGCGGCGGGGCCGTCGAAGGGGGACGGCGGGGCCGCGACGTAGGGCGGCGGCACCGTCGAAGGGTAGGGCGGCGGGGCCGCGACGTAGGGTAGGGCGGCAGGGCCGCGACGTAGGGCGGCGGGGCCGTCGAAGTAGGGCGGCGGGGCCGCGACTTAGGGCGGCGGCGCCGTCGAAGGGTAGGGCGGCGGGGCCGCGACGTAGGGCGGCGGGGCCGCTAGAGTAGGGCGGCGGGGCCGCGACCGAAAGGCGGCCCGACGGGCCGCTGGGAGGGGGGGAGGGCGACACTACGGGTCGCTAAAAAAAAACGCGCGCCTCGGGGCGCGCTTCGGTGGGCCCAAGAAACAGTCCCTAGGAGGGGACCTACTCTGATTCCATGTGAAAATGAGAACGAGGATGAGATGAACTATGAGCGAAGTGGGTACAAGTACTAACCCTAATTGGGTTGTACCCCCTATGGGATACCCCACTATAGCCTACACAAAAGCATAAGCTATAATGTTCTGACAGCAAAAACTATCGGAGTCGGGACCTTAGTTAAAAGGAAACTATCGCCCAACCGTTTTGCAGCCCGCCGTGCCTTTCACAGCTTCCCGGTCTCAGCTTCGCTGCTGCGCCGTCACCTCGTGTGTAGACGTCCGGGTCAGGAGAAACCTGTAAACTGCACCGATGTTATCCTCGCAGCTCCCCGACTTTTTCGCGTGCCGTTCACCCAGCCCGCTTTTGTCGGAGTAGAACAGTGCCGCGAACTCCACTTTTTTTGGTATTTTCTGTACAGCTGTCGAACGAGCACCAATCCAGGTGCCTTTAACCAGCACAGGGTAGGTACGTGTTCACCCCCGTTATTCGGCCAAGTAAGTTGACTGCATGAGTCAGAACTAAGACTTGGTGGGGATGGTGAGGTTCGGGCGAAGTAGGGCCGCAGATCGATTCCTCCGGCTTTTAATCTGCTCCCCACGACGTTCTTCAACCCCCGCTTAGCCGTTGGACCGTTTCTGCCCGTGTGTCCCGGCAGCCTGTACCGACCCCTCCGAAATTGTCGGGCGGTACCTTGGACACCGTTTAATCGTGGGCTGTCAGCAGCTGTCCCCGAAAACGAATTCCCTGGTCAGGAGAAACCGCTCTCGATACTGCCGGCCAGCTTGCAACAACACCAGGCACGCAGTGTCGCCGAGTTGATTCGAGGTGTACCTGCCCCGATTTCCCTCGTCGCCTGCGTCCCACTTCCCGTAAGTGCGATTTAGCCACCGCGTTTTCCGTTGCAGCCCTAAGTGTCAGCGGTATGAAGTCCCGTCTGTCCACGAGCACTCCTGCCGAAATTGCTGATGACGCGCCCGCCAATGCAGTAAAAGCCGCCGCACTTAACAGGTCGGGCGGGACGGCTGTTTACTCCCGCTAAGTCGGGCAGTCTTGTGTCGTCTCTCCTCGCCACCGGCATTTTCGGACGCAAACTCCTTTTGCGCCTGGCGAGTTCCCCAGCCGACATTTCTTCACAGTAGCTCCGAAAATATCGCCACAGTGACGCACGTCTGTTGTCGCCAGCTGCCGAGCCACACTCCGTGAGTCACGCGCGCAAAATGATGACGAGCCACCGTTGTCACTTGCCGCATGGGACGACTCCGAAGTTGTCGCGCAACTGTTGACTCAGGTCCAACGTCGTCAACGGCCACTCATCGTGACGACTTCCGAAAATTTCGTGCAGGTGCTGACGCAGGTCCGTTGACGCCAACTGCCTCACAAAATTCCGAAACCGTCGTTAAAACCGCAGCGGAATAGTAACTCACTTTTAATGTCGCGACAGCTACAACTGTCCGTTGCCCGGGGGGAGGGAGGCCACGGTCGATCGCGACCGTTCGAGGCAAGGATCTGGCGGTGCCGAAGGAATACCCGTAAAACTATGGCCGCGAGGAGCAACTAACGCGTTCTCCTGGCCGGCCTACGCAACTCCTGGACCCCAAGACATCCTTCCTCGTCCCCCCCCCCCCCCGAGGGGTATTACACTCTAAAAAGCGGGGTGAGCTAGGAAAGTAGCTCTGATACCAGGTGTTATGAATCAACTTGCAGAGTGCGCAGTAAAACGAATATCGAGAATGATTGAGTACTGAATTACTGAATTCCGAAACAATGAAGTAGCGAGGCCTAAATAGGGGACAACCTAGCTAGGCGGGGGGTTCGGGATGGGATGGCTCGGTGATGGTTGCGATTGGAGCGGAGGCCGACTCGGGAGTGGTTCGGTGCGACGAAATAGGAAGGTCAGGTTCGTCGCGTGACCCTCGGGATGGCCTCGCTAACGAGTGCCTGAGTAAGGATTTGTAAATCCTTACACAAAATGAGTTTTGCAGCACATCCCCGTCGAAAATACGAGCACGCGGGGGTAGGCCGTTAGGAAAGCCCAGCCTACGTGCTTGTAATTCGGGTTTCCAAATCGACGTCAGTTTCTGCCCATGCTCTCCCACTATTCCCAATCTCTTTACCGATGAGAGGAAACCCCGCAATCTGAGTATTTTTGCCGAGCGCCGCGACAAAGAACGGCGGAAGTGGAAAACGCGCAGAGGACATTTCCTGGCAGAGACAAGGTGGTTGGGGGATATAGTCCCGTGGACGAGCCAGGCGCGGCGTACGGCGGATAGGAGAGGGCGTCAGGCACGCGCAGTAGTGCGTGGTTCCGCGCACGGCGGAACGGGCCTCGTTGAGAGATCTATCGGGCGCTGTAGGCCGGGCCGGAGGGATGGTAGCGCGGGGGCGGAGGTCGAAAGGGGAAGGGCGAGGGTTGTTGCCGGCAGACGGCGATATGTCTAACCAGTCCTTACATCTGCTATGCCGAATATCCAGTCAAACCTAGATTGAATAACTCACTCCACAGTGCAGCCGCTCCCTTCATAACTTCCCTTGCCCCCCCAACAGTCGCAGTGAAACTTGATTCCGACTGAGATGAATCAAGGGGGCCAGCAGCGCCATGCTTTCCAATTTCCGCGCTAGCGCGCACCTACCCACCATCGCAGCGCGATCTCAACTTCTTCGCGGGCAATCTGCTGCTGCCGCGTAAGATCCGCCGGTTGCCCTCTCTTCTTCCCGTCGCTCTCCCTTCCCGTCGCGCTCCCTTCCCGTCGCCCTCCCTTCCCCTCTGCCTCCCTTCCCGTCGCCTTCCCTTCCCGTCGCCTACCCTTCCCGTCGCCCGCGCTTCTGTTCCGTCGCCGTCCGTTCGTCTCGTCCCCCTCCCTTCCGCTCGTCCGCTGCTCTCCCCGTCAATTTCTCTCCCCGTCGCCCACGCGTTCCCTGTCAATTCACTCTCCGTCGCGCTCGCTTTCCCCGTCATTTCTCTCTCCGTCGCGCATGCTTTCCCCGTCGCCCTGCCATCCACTGCTCGTCGACCTCGCCTTCCCTCCCGCCTCCCTTCCCACCTCGCACACAAGTCACCCTACGTATTCCCCCCCTACTCCCTCTTATCCCTCCCGCTAATAATCGCCTTCCTTCCCCCCCCCTTCCCTTCTTCCCCATGTCCCCTTCCCTTCTTCCCCATGTCCCCTTCCCTTCTTCCCCATGTCCCCTTCCCTTCTTCCCCATGTCCCCTTCCCTTCTTCCCCATGTCCCCTTCCCTTCTTCCCCATGTCCCCTTCCCTTCTTCCCCATGCCCCCTTCCCTTCTTCCCCATGTCCCCTTCCCTTCTTCCCCATGTCCCCTTCCCTTCTTCCCCATGTCCCCTTCCCTTCTTCCCCATGTCCCCTTCCCTTCTTCCCCATGTCCCCTTCCTTTCTTCCCCATGTCCCCTTCCCTTCTTCCCCATGTCCCCTTCCCTGCATCCCTGCAGGGTCTCCTCGCCCGCCGCCCCACTTTGCTCAACCCCGACATTTCACGCGCCCTTATGTCCCCCTCCCGCCACAGTCCATTCAGGCCAATGCACTCCCCCCACCTCCTTCTATCTGCATCCCCTCACATCCCCCTCCCCATCCCCCTCCCCACCACCAGGCGCGCGCCCTGCTAGCATGCCATCGGTCGCCGCGCTATCACGTGGCACCTCTGTGGCGCGCACATCGCCCCAATTTCGCACGCTACTACACACATCACCGTCAGCTTTTATCCATTGATGGTGGGTGCGTGGATGGGTGGATGCGTGGGTGGGTGGATGCGTGGGTGGGTGGGTGGGTGGGTGGGTGCGTGGGTGGCTGCATGTCCACGTGCATGCTCTGCTTTGTGCATGCATGTCTATGTGCATGCATATCTATGTGCATGCATGTCTATGTGCATGCATGTCTATGCGCATGCATGTCTATGTGCATGCATGTCTATGCGCATGCATGTCTATGTGCATGCATGTCTATGCGCATGCATGTCTATGTGCACGCATGTTGATGAGTGTGCTGGCCTATGCCCACTCTTGTCCATGTGCATGCTTTTGCATGTGCCTGCTTGTTTGCTTCATCTCACTGCCTTGCTTTCTCCCACTGCCATGCTTGCTCTCACTGCCATGCTTGCTATCACTGTCATGCTTGCTATCACTGCCATGCTTGCTCTCACTGCCATGCTTGCTTTCACTGCCATACTTGCTATCACTGCCATGCTTGCTTTCACTGCCATGCTTGCTATCACTGCCATGCTTGCTATCACTGCCATGCTTGCTATCACTGCCATGCTTGCTATCACTGCCATGCTTGCTATCACTGCCATGCTTGCTATCACTGCCATGCTTGCTATCACTGCCATGCTTGCTCTCACTGCCATGCTTGCTATCACTGCCATGCTTGCTCTCACTGCCATGCTTGCTCTCACTGCCATGCTTGCTCTCACTGCCATGCTTGCTATCACTGCCATGCTTGCTATCACTGCCATGCTTGCTATCACTGCCATGCTTGCTATCACTGCCATGCTTGCTATCACTGCCATGCTTGCTATCACTGCCATACTTGCTCTCACTGCCATACTTGCTATCACTGCCATGCTTGCTCTCACTGCCATGCTTGCTCTCACTGCCATGCCCGCCACCCCACTTTTCTCTCCCGTCTGCTGCCACTTCTGCCAGTGCGCTCCTCGCCCTTCCTGCTGCCCATTTATTCCCGCCCCGCTACTTCCCCTCACCCCGCTGCGTTCAGGACAGAGTCTATTCCCCCTCTGCTTCCCCCCTTCCCCTCCACAGTCTAGTGCACATGGTGGGAGCATGACAGGGTAACAGCACCTGCACACCGTCACAGCACCTGCACCCTAAAACCCGACTTCCCCTTCCCCTCTCCCTTCACCACTTTCCTCGCTGTCTCCACACGCCCCCCTCAGTCCACGCTCAGATCATGCTGCTGATGCCAGCACAGGCAGCCCCATGCCCAAGGACGTTCACCCCATCTCGCACTGGCTGCTCAATGAACCCTGCAGCACCGCCCTGCAACTCGAGCGGACCACAGGCAATACAGTGCAGCCTGTGTTAAATCCATTCACAACTGCATGATGTCCACGTTTCCCCTATGTTTACAGTCTCACGAGCGGCGGGAACCGAACGTGACAACCCCTCCTTGCTCCCTCTCTCCCCGCCTGCCTTCCTCCCCCTCCTGCATCCTTCGTTCCCACCCGCCTCCCTCCCTGCCCGCCTGCCTCTTTCTCTCCCCACCTGCCTCTTTCTCTACCCACCTGCCTCTTTCTCTCCCCACCTGCCTCTTTCTCTCCCCACCTGCCTCTTTCTCTCCCCACCTGCCTCTTTCTCTCCCCACCTGCCTCTTTCTCTCCCCACCTGCCTCTTTCTCTCCTCCTCTGCCTTTGCATTGTATGCATAGAACAGGCTAGGAGCAGAGATAGATTAGGCGTCTATCGTGTGTTCTAATGGTCGAGTGATTTCGGCTGCTGCAGCAGAAAGTGATGACAGTATGGCCCAAAGGTTGCAATTTGGCAGTGGTAGTGCGCCGGGGTTTGTCCAAGCTGCTCTCGCAATTTGCGTTGCGAAATTCCGTTTTTTTTTTTTTTTTTTTTTCGTGCGTTTGTTTCGAGAACCAAACCCTTAGCTTTTGTTCCGAACCTTTCATGGGCTGCCTGCCGAGCCTAGTTTTGCTCTAGTTGACCAGTGTTGAGTAACTCGGGCTTTGGCCTTCAAGGCAAAATGGATCTGCCCTGATTGGTGAATATTGGCGCGAGATGAAGCGGAATCATGAGCATCAGTTTCAGGTTCGGCCTACATTTCGGCCCGAACCACTACTGAGTCGCCCCGCACCAATCGCGACACATCCAACCCTCGCACGTTACGAGGTTCTCACCTAGCACGTATTCGCCATATAAATGCTTGCCTTGTTCATTAAATCGTCATTCTGTAATTCATCCGCTATAAAGTCTTTCGTGCACTCTGTTTAGTACAACTCATAACACTTGGTATCATAGCTAGTTTCCTAGCTCACCCCGCTTTTTAGAATGCATGACCCATCGGGGAGGGGGGAGAGTACAGGGAAGGATGCCGTGGTGACAGGAGTAGCGCAGTAGTCGGCTAGGAGAACGGGTAGATGCTCCTAGCGGCCATGAATTTCAAAGGCGCTTCTACGGCACCGACGAATCCTAAACCTCGACGGTCGAGATGGACCGTGACCTCCCTCCCCCCGGGTGGCGGACATCTTTGGCTGTTGTCGCTTTTAATGCGGGAGTTAAGAGTGCTAGTTGTCGTAATTTTCGGAATTGATTCTGTGTAGCGGCTGACGTTGGTAGGATCGTCGTCGGCGCAACGTCAGAAATTGGCGGAACGTGGTGCGAGTTGACATCGGGGAGGGGGGGGGGGGGGGGAGGGGGGGAGGGGGGAGAGTACAGGGAAGGATGTCGTGGTAACAGGAGCAGCGCAGTAGTCGGCCAGGAGAACGGGTAGATGCCCCTAGCGGCCATGAATTTCAAAGGCGCTTCAGCGGCACCGACGAATCCTAAACCTCGACGGTCGAGATGGACCACGACCTCCCTCCCCCTGGGTGGCGGACAGCTTTGGCTGTTGTCGCATTTAATGCAGGAGTTAACAGTGCTAGTTGTCGTAATTTTCGGAATTGATTCTGTGTAGCGGCTGACGTTGGCGATCGTCGTCGGCGCAACGTCAGAAATTGGCGGAACGTGGTGCGAGTTGACGTTCTTCACGTGGTCGTCAACTACGCGCGAATAAATCGGAACTGCTTCGTGCGGCAAGTGGTGTCGGGCGTATTCGCCCTGTTGCGCACGAGCTTTTGGACGTCTTCGGCAAGTGACATGCGGCGTCACAGTGCGAGAAGTTTTCGGGTAGCAGCACGTGGAAAACGACTGCTGGTTGAGCAAGCCAGTGTCAAACTTATATGCTGCATGTTGTGTAGGCTGTAGTGGGGTAGCCCATATGGGGTACAACCCAATCAGGGTTTACTACTTGTAGTCATGCATGCTGCTAGTTCATACATTCTCGTTCGTACTTCTGACATGTTTTCAGAGCAGGTCCCAGCCTAGGACAGTTTTTTTAGGGCCCACCGAGTAGCGTTACCGCACTCGTCGCGCCGCCGTGTTAGCGCCGCACTGCCTTGCCCTGCCCTGCGTCGCGCTGCCTGCGCACGCCCTGCCGTGCCCTGCCCGCGCGCCGCACCGTGCCGCCTTGCCCGCACGTCGCCCGCCACAGCGCGGCCTGCCCTGCCCGCGCGCCGCCCGCTTCAGCGCGCCGTGCCCTGCCCGCGCGCCGCCCGTCGCTGCGCCCCCTGCCCTGCCCGCGCGCAGCCCGCCGCCGCGCGCCCTACTCTGCCCGCACGCCGCCCGCCACCGCGTGCCCTGCCCTACCCGCGCGCCGCTCGCCGCCGCGCGCTCTGCTCTGCCCGCGCGCCGCCCGCCGCCGCGCGCCCTGTGCTGCCCGCGCGTCGCCCGCCGCAGCGCACTCTGCTCCGCCCGCGCGCCACCTGCCGTAGCGCGCCCTGCCCTACCCACGCGCCGCCCGCCGCCGCGCGCCCTGCCCTGCCCGCGCGTCGCCCGCCGCCGCGCGCCCTGTTCTGCCAGCGCGCCGCCCGCCGTAGCGCGCCCTGCCCTGCCCGCCGCCGCGTGCCCTGCTTTGCCCGAGCGCTGCCCGCCGCCGCGCGCCCTGCCTTGCCCTGCTGGCTGCCACCCTACTTTGCCCTGCCTGCGTGCTGCTCTGCTGCTAGCGCGCCCGACTGCTCTGCCCGCCATGGCCATGCTCATTGTTCTCACCTTTGATCCGGAGGGCCGCCTGATAGAGTTCGATGCTTGGCTCGACGACTTACAGCTGTACTTACTGAGCGATTCCAAGGACGGTGTTTCACTGTTTGACCTCATGTGTGGCGCCTCTCTTGCCCTTGCCGCCACAGCTGACAGTGTAGCTCGCTCACAGTGGCTTAGTCGTGATGCTTCTGCTCGCCTAGCCGTTCGCAACCATCTGCCGTTAGCCGAACGCGCTCACTTCGGACAGCACAAGACTGCGAAAGCACTGTACGACACTGTAGTCGCTCATTACTCCTTCCCGGCCACTGCTGCTCTAGGCCGCCTTCTCTTGCCCTACCTGTTCCCAAAGCTGTCCGCCTTTGCCACAGTAGCCGACCTCGTCACTCACCTTCGCACTAGTGACACTCGCAACCGCGCTGCGCTCCCCACCGAGTTTCTCACCAAGAACCCTCCTCCCATGTACATCACTCTCTACTTCATAGTCACCCGCCTCCTTGACTCTCTTAGCGCTGTCACGGACCTCCTTCTCGCCCTTGACCCCACCGACCACACAGTAGACCTACTCAAGAAGCACGTCCTAGCAGCTGAGACTAGCATAGTCGCTGTAGGCGCTTCTCGTGGCACTCCTCGCACTCCCCTCTTTGAAGGGTGTTTGCCCTCCCCCTAGTCCCCTCCATCGCCTCTGCTGCAGCTGTTGACTACCTTCGTGCTGAGGAGGTAGGAGCAGCGTCTACCCCTAGTGGGAGGCACCGCAGCGGCAGGGGTAGGGGAGGCAGGGGCGGTGCGGGTGGCAGAGGTGGAGGCGGTGGTGGGGGTGGTGGAGGCGGTGGAGGGGGCGGAGGTGGCGGAGGGAGTGGTGGTGGGGGTGGAGGTGCAGGTGGCGGCGGTGGTGGCGGCAGTGTTGGCGGCAGTGGGAGTGGAGGCGGCGGTAGTGGTGGCGGCCGGGGCGGTACCAGTCAGATGGGAGGCCTTGGCGGTGGTCAGAGGCCGCAGCAGCAGCGTCAGCTTTCGCCCCAGGAGCTACATGAGTGGTTTGCTTAGCGTGGGGCACCTGGGGGTAGTGGTCCCTGCCCATATGTCATTCGCACAGGTGATCGCTGTGGTCAGACATGCGGGAAGCTCCACACCCAGTACCGCTGCTTCTCTTGTCTTACCGACGCCTTCCGCATAGAGTTTTCTAACGCGGCTGAGCTCCCCCGCTGGGCAGAGCTGCTTAGGCAAGGTGTGGACATCTTTGCTCTTGATTATGATGCTATCCTTTCTGCCATGTATACATTGACTGTTAGTGCTGAGGGTGACTGTTTTCTGTGTATGCCGCCGGACCCAGGTATAGAGGCTGCTGCTCTAGGTGCTAGTGAGTCTGCTGCTCTAGGTGCTGGTGAGTCTGCTCTCTCTGGTAATGCGTCTACTGCGGCCTTGCACACGTTCATGCTTGACTCAGGTGCTTCACGCTGTTTCTTTCGCGAAAGTACCACAGTCACACCGCTCTCTGCACCTATTGCTGTCTCTCTGGCTGACCCCTCTGAGCGCCCAGTCCTTCCACGTTCCTCCACTATTCTGCCGTGTCCGACGGTTCCGTCTGGCTCACTGTCAGGTCTCCACCTCCCCTCGTTCTCTATGAACTTGGTGAGCAACGCTGTCCTTCAGGATGAGTGGGTTGATACCTTCACCCCTGGAGGACAGCGTGTGGCGCCTTGTACATGCTCCAGGATTGGCAGGCACCTGGCCACGTTCACCCGTCGGCCTGGGTCGACTCTGTACACACTGACTACTACGCCTCCTCAGGTAGCTGCGTCAGCGTCTACGTCAGGTCAGCTTGCGCCCCCCTGCTCGTTTGGCACCACCGCCTTGGTCACCCCTCCGTGGCACGCCTCCGTGGCATGCACTCCCATCTCCTTGTCTCTGATCTTCCCAGGTCTCTGCCTCCCCTCCCACCCTCGCCTGCGCCTCCCTATCTTCCCTGTGTCGAGGGGCGGCGGCGCGCCACTCCTCACTCCTCCTCGTTCCCATCGACGACAGCTCCCCTGCAGACTCTCCACATGGACGTGTAGGGCCCAGCCCGCGACGGTGGACAGGGCCGCGAGCAGGACTTTCTGCTGGTTGTCGACAACTACACGCGTTACACTACGGTCTTCTCCTTACGCAGCAAGGGGGAGGTCCCTGATGTTTTGATCCCTTGGATCCGTGATGTTCGTCTCCAACTCTGCGAGCGGTTCGAGACGGACCTTCCCGTCCTGCGTCTGCACTCTGACAGAGGTGGTGAGTTTTCCTCCGACCTCTTGCGGGAATTTTGTCGTGGGGAGGGCATTCGCCAGACTTCACGCTTCCGGCCTCTTTGCAGCAGAATGGGATTGCTCAGCGCCGCATTGGCTTAGTCATGGAGGTCGCTCGTACCTTCTTGATCCATGCGGCTGCCCCCCATTTTCTATGGCCGTTTGCGGTCCGGTACGCTGCGCATCAGCTCAACCTCTGGCCCCGTGTCTCCTTGCCGCAGACCTCGCCGACACTGCGTTGGATCGGAGAGGTTGGCGATGCGTTGGTGTTCTGGGTCTGGGGATGACGTGCTTTTGTCCGCGATACTTCCGCAGACAAGCTCTCCTCCCGCGCCGTTCCCTGTGTCTTCCTC